GTAAAGAACAGTAGAACGAAAAATCATCTGCTGGATTGAAGTAGTAAGCAATGTCGTTGACAATACTTTAGTCTAAGTCTGCTGTTGGCCTTAAGACCTTTCATTCCATATTTGCTCGAATATGTTTAATATTTAGTAACGGATTACATATTCCTAAAAACCTACATATTTAATGATAACACATGTATATGTGTGGTTTAGCCTATGTGTATGTGCACTGCCATAATCCAACAGTATTGATTGATTGTCTGTGATTGCATCTCTTGCAGCTTTACTGTGTCTGTGAATGTGTCAATTTCTATGTCAGTGTGTGAGTGTGTGTTTGTGAGCTTGCTTTTGTGTGTGTGTTTATGTTGAATGGGGATCTGTCAGTGAACTAATACTCTCTCTTTCTCTAATGTAGATCAGTAGAGGTCAGCTCTCCCCCCCCCCCCCCCCCCCCCCCCCCCCCCCCCCCCCCCCCCTCCCCCCCTCTCTCTCGCTCTCTCTCTCTTTCCCTCTCTTTCCCTCTCTCTATCCCTCCTCTCTCTCTTGCTGTCTCTCTCCCTCTCTTTCTCTCCCCCTCTCTCTCCCCCTCTCTCTCTCTCTCCCTCCCTCCATCCATCTCGCTCTCTCCAGGGGGAGGTATAGTACAGTGGTTCAGCTCTCTCTCTAATCCTGCAGGATAAAGCAGCAGAGGAGAGGAAGGATAGAAAGAGGGATAGTGAGAGAGGAGGAGAGGAGGGCCCAAGCGTGAAAGATTAGGGTCTGGCTTTCCCCAGGATACCACTGGGATGGAGAAACACTGCACTGAGCCGTGTGTGTGTGTGTGTATTAATCCACAGACATCACCAGTAAAGCGTAGGCTGTTCTATCTGCCCTCTATTCACAGTCTCATGCTCTCTCTACTTAGCCTTCATTCTGCATTGTAACTCTCTTGATTGAAGCATTGTAACTCTCTTGATTGAAACATTGTAACTCTCTTGATTGAAGCATTGTAACTCTCTGGATTGAAGCATTGTAAATCTCTTGACTGAAACATTGTAACTCTCTTGATTTAAGCATTCTAACTCTCTTGATTGAACATTGTAACTCTCTTGACTGAAACATTGTAACTCTCTTGATTGAAGCATTCTAACTCTCTTGATTGAAACATTCTAACTATCTTGATTGAGCATTGTAACTCTCTTGATTGAAGTGTTGTAACTCTCTTGACTGAAACATTGTAACTCTATTGATTGAAGCATGGTAACTCTCTTAATTGAAACATTGTAACTCTCTTGATTGAAGCATTGTAACTCTCTTGATTGAGCATTGTAACTCTCTTGATTGAGGCATTGTAACTCCCTTGACTGAAACATTGTAACTCTCTTGATTGAAGCATGTTAACTCTCTTGATTGAAACATTGTAACTCTCTTGATTGAAGCATTGTAACTCTCTTGATTGAAGCATTGTAACTCTTGATTGAAACATTGTAACTCTCTTGATTGAAGCACTGTAACTCTCTTGATTGAAGCACTGTAACTCTCTTGATTGAAGCATTGTAACTCTCTTGATTGAAGCATTGTAACTCCCTTGATTGAAGCACTGTAACTCTCTTGATTGAAGCATTTTAACTGCCTGGTGAAATAGTGTATTGAGGCTGAATGAATAGATAAAAGTTGTATATACGATGGAGACAGAAGCTAGTGTCTTGATGAGATGAGAATGCTCTCTTTCATCTACCTATTCTACATGATATTAGAGGATAAACAGACACCCTAATAATAATAATGTGTGTGTGTGTGTGTGTGTGTGTGTGTGTGTGTGTGTGTGTGTGTGTGTGTGTGTGTGTGTGTGTGTGTGTGTGTGCGCACGACACCTCATAGATCATTGAAATGCAAAATGACCCACACACAGAGTGCAGACACACACACACACACACAGAGCGCACACACACACACACACACACACACACACACACACACAGGGTGGTTGCAATCGATAAAGCTCATTGGGGAATATGAAACCAGCCATAACAGGAGGAAACATTGGGTCTTTGACCGTGTTGTTTTCTGCCAGTTGTGTCTTTACTAGTCTTTACTAGTGGGTGGATAGGCAATCAAGCTATAGTACATACACACACACACACTACAAAGCTACAGATGTAGGATCATCATTTGATCACTCTTTTGTTTCTGAGATTTTTCCTGCACAGCAGGAAATTCAAACGTGTATTCAAGGTTTAAAAAGGCTTCTAAAGTATGTAATTTCCACTTGTCAGACTTGATTTGCCCTAACGAAAAATGTATCAACCCCTACACAAAATGTCCATTAATTATAATCTGTATAATAATTCCTGTTGCTGCAGGATTATTTCCTGCTGTAGCAAATTGGCTCAAATTAAGATCCTACATCTGTATAGTGCCTGTTCAGCTATTGATGTTGTTTAGCTGGTATCAGCCTAAAAACAAGGTTGTCTAAGTGAGCAATACATACAGTGCATTCTGAAAGTATTCAGACCCCACATTGTTACGTTACAGCCTTATTCTGAAATTGATTAAATCGTTTTTTTCCCATTGATCTATGCAGATACTCTCAAGCTCTGTAAGGTTGGATGGGGAGCATCGCTGCACAGCTATTTTCAGGTCTCTCCAGAGATGTTCGATCTGGTTCAAGTCCGGGCTCTGGCTGGGCCACTCAAGGACATTCAGAGACTTGTCCCGAAGCCACTCCTGCGTTGTCTTGGCTGTGTGCTTAGGGTCGTTGTCCTGTTGGAAGGTGTACGTTTGACCCAGTCTGAGGTCCTGAGCGCTCTGGAGCAGGTTTTCATCAAGTATCTCTCTGTACTTTGCTCCGTTAATCTTTCCCTCGATCCTGACTAGTCTCCCAGTCTGCCGCTGAAAAACATCCCCACAGCATGATGCTGCCACCACCATGCTTCACGGTAGGGATGCTGCCAGGTTTCCTCCAGACATGACACTTTGCATTCAGGCCAAATAATTCAATCTTTGTTTCATCAGACCAGAGAATCTTGTTTCTCATGGTCTGAGAGTCCTTTAGGTGCCTTTTGACAAACTCCAAGCGGGCTGTCATGTGCCTTTTGCTGAGGAGTGGCTTCCGTCTGGCCACTCTACCATAAAGGCCTGATTGGTGGAGTGCTGCAGAGATGGCTGTCCTTCTGGAAGGTTCTCCCATCTCCACAGAGGAACTCTTTCAGAGTGACCATCGGGTTCTTGGTCAACTCCCTGACCAAGGCCCTTCTTCCCCGAGTGCTCAGTTTGGCCGGGCTGCCAGCTCTAGGAAGAGTCTTGGTGGTTCCAAACTTCTTCCATTCAAGAATGATGGAGGCCACTGTGTTCTTGGGGATCTTCAATGCTGCAGACATTTTTTGCTACTCTTCCCCAGATCTGTGCCTCGACACAATCCTGTCTCGAGCTCTACGGACAATTTCTTTGACCTCATGTCTTTTTGCTCTGACATGCCCTGTTAACTGTGGGACCTTATATAGACAGGTGTGTGCCTTTCCAAATCATGTCCAATGAATTGAATTTACCACAGGTGGACTCCAATCAAGTTGTAGAAACATCTCAAGGATGATCAATGGAAACAGGATGCACCTGAGCTCAATTTCTAGTCTCATAGCAAAGGGTTTGAATACTTAAGTAAATACCGTATTTCTGTTTTGCAAACATTTCTAAAAACCTGTTTTCTCTTTGTCATTACGGGGTGTTGTGTGTAGATTGATGAGGAAAACATTTTTATTTAATCCATTTTAGAATAAGGCTCTAATGTAACATGATATGGAAAAAGTCAAGGGGTATAAATACTTTCAGAATGCACTGTAAAATCTTAATGGCTACACACAGACTAGACATGTTTGGACTGAGAGTCGACAGTTAGCTGTGTTCATATGCTCAGCCTATGGCTCATTAGTAGAGCATAGCCTGCCTCTTGTCAATCTTTGGATCGATTTATAATGTGCTTGCAGAGATACTGTATGTGGTATTCCTTTGAGTAGTTGAATGTGTGTCAGGAATTCAGAGGTTGTTGGGTTTCTGTGCGTGCATGTGTGTGAGGGAGGGAGAGAAAGAACGAGATTGTGTGTGTGTGTGTGTGTGTGTGTGTGTGTGTGTGTGTGTGTGTGTGTGTGTGTGGAGCTGCGTGAACATTATTATTGAGCTTCACACTGAGTGTTCCCCCCTCTCACCGACGCAACACACACAACGCTCACAGATGGCAGAAATGGTTGCTCACACACACACACACACACACACACACACGCACACACATGCAAGCGCGCATCTCATCTTCCCGGGATGGGCATTGGAATGCTGTTTAACCCCAATACTCTCTCCTCCTGTTGTAATGTGTCATTGTATGATAAAGAGATTGTCTTGTAGACAAGGCTATTCTATTGTGTGTGTGTGTGTGTGTGTGTGTGTGTGTGTGTGTGTGTGTGTGTGTGTGTGTGTGTGTGTGTGTGTGTGTGTGTGTGTGTGTGTGTGTTTGAGAGAGCCTAATCTAACATGTTTGTTCTCTGTGTTCCCCAGGATCCTGCTGCCGTCCAGAAGGCTAGCTCTCAAAGGGAAATGATTCCGCATGAAGCTGACGGACGGCTCTCCTCCTCTCTCCACGACAACGCCAGGTGTGACTCGTGCTGCTCCCACGGCAACGGCAGGTGTGCCTCTCTCTGCTCCCTGCTGAGCCAGAGCCAGGCATTCGACAGACGCTGAGCTACAGGACCTTCCCGCCCTCTCTACCTCCTCCAACCTCCTATCTACCAGAGAGAAAAGACAACAGTATGAAGTCCAACCATGAACGCAGCAACGAGTGTCTGCCCCCCAAGAAGAGAGATTTCCCAGCCAGCACTGCGGATGAGAGGCCCCTGGTGATGGCGCCCGCCAGCGAGACCCAGCGAGGAGAGAACCTGGCATGGCTGGCCAGCGTAGCCGGCGGGCACAACAGAGACAGTAGCGGAGGTAACGGGGATGGTGGTAGAGCTGGGCAGCGTACCAGCACTCCCAGTGAGTCTGACGTGACCCAGTACAAACCGCTATACTCCACCGGCACCACACACTTAGACTTCCTGGTCCCTTCCTCCATCTGTTCCATCTCCTCCTCCTCTTCATCACATCAGTCCAGTGTGGTGACCACATCCCTCCCTGCCATGTACACCTCTCCTCTGTCCCAATCAGGGGGGGCCCTCCACTATACCCAGCTGCCCCCCAACCTCCAGTTCATCAGTTCCCCTTACACAGGCCCCTATGCTGGCTACATCTCCTCCCAGCTCCCCCCTCCACCCACCTCCACATCCCAATGCTCCTACCCCAACACCGCCACCAAGCTGGACCAGCACCACTCTGTGGGTCCAGGTCGCCCCCCACCCCAGTCCCAGTCCTTACCCCCGGGCCTGGCTGTGTCGGACACTGGCCCCCAGTACATCCAGCTCTCTGGTTCCTCTCAGAGTGTGGACCCCCGGACTGCCCCCTCGCCCCACGGTGGGACCCACCACATGCACCCCGACCCCCACCACACCCTGGCCTTCAGCGGTAGCTCCCAGGTGCTGGTCCAGTATGCGTGCCCTGGCTCCGAGGGGCCCCTGACTAAGAGAGAGGAGGGCCAGCCCAGGGAGCTGCACAATGGAGAGCTGGAGAAGAGGAGCCGCTTTGAGAGAAAGGAAAGCAAAGGAACCCCATCCTCATCCTCCTCCTCTTCCTCCTCTTCCTCCCATCACCAGCTCCACCAGCAGCAGAGCTCCCAGCATCACTATGAGACCTATACCTCCCATGATGCCTCAGGGCTACGGACCTCTCTCATGCCCAACAGCCACGGAGGACAAGACCACCAGAGCCCCGACAAACTACCCCCCTCCTCTGCCTCGCACCCAGAGAAAAGCAGCCTTCTCCTGGGTAAACCTGTGTACCGCACCTCCTCCTCCACCTCCTCCACGTTCACCTTCCCCCCTCAGCTCAATGTGGAGAGTCTTAAGGCAGCCGTCAGCTCCCCCCACACCCACACGGTCATCCAGACCACACACAACGCCAGCGATGCATCACCCCCCTCCCTGGGCCAACTCTCCACCAACTTCTACCAGGCTGGCCACGGTGGGCAGCCCATCATCAGCTATCTGTCTGGGGGTGCAGGGGGGCAGCAGTACCACACCAGTCTGCCCCAGCACCTTCTCATCCCAGGGGCCCCAGGGTCTCAACCTATCATCATCCCCGTCAGTGGGGCCGGGGTCACCAGCCTGGAGGCTACCCATGCTGCCCACATAGCCACCACAACCCAACCACAGCCCCACGCCTACGCCACCACCACCACTAACCCCAACCCCAAAGAGGAGCATCTATTCGAGGTCCCGGCCCCCTACCCTCCTCTGTCCCACCCTGCCGGGGCCGGGGGGAGCGTGGTCCAGGCCCAGCTACACCTCCCGGTGGTCCCACCCCTCCCGGCCCCCTCCTCGGCCCCCTCAGGCCCCTCGCTGCCACCCTACTTTATCAAGGGCTCCATCATCCAGCTGGCGGACGGGGAGCTGAAGCGCGTGGAGGACCTGAAGACGGACGACTTCATCCAGAGCGCTGAGATAAGCAGCGAGCTGAAGATAGACTCGTCCACTGTAGAACGCATCGACGGCAGCCACACACCCAACTTGGCAATCGTACAGTTCTCTGTGGGTGAGCACCGCGCTCAGGTGAGAGAACGCTAATCATGTTTGTGCATCAATATAACATTGATAATCACAAGTGTGACGTGCCTGCACGTCACACAGTGACATCATTTTGAATATTGAATAGCTCCTTGTGTGTTTATACTAGAGACTTCCTGTGTCTTGCAGTGGCTGCAGCTCAATCTTTTCTTTCCGCCGATATAAAGCTTGCACTTATTCCATAACATGGGGCTTGTAAAGGCGGTGTTTTTCATCACCGAACTGTTTGAACTACAATCTAATAAGCATTGAAAGGGGAGACTCTCACGAACATGAAGGGGAGTCATAACCTTTTGGGGGGGGTACCCCACCTACATTGTACCTTAAACTGTTTATAAATACAACAGATTCTGTTCCAACAGCCCTGGGCCCAACTCATTGGAATGTCCCCACCCCATGGCCCAACTCATTGGAATGTCCCCACCCCATGGCCCAACTCATTGGAATGTCCCCACCCCATGGCCCAACTCATTGGAATGTCCCCACCCCATGGCCCAACTCATTGGAATGTCCCCACCCCATGGCCCAACTCATTGGAATGTCCCCACCCCATGGCCCAACTCATTGGAATGTCCCCACCCCATGGCCCAACTCATTGGAATGTCCCCACCCCATGGCCCAACTCATTGGAATGTCCCCACCCCATGGCCCAACTAGCAATTTATACAATTTATACCAGTCCAATGGTGGTCCGACAGCGCGCAAACAAAGGGGCAGGGCCGGGGGGGCATGACTCTTAAATATAGGCTGTTATCGTGATTGGGCTATTCATACTGTAGGCCTATCATATGGACTGGAATTAGGCACCTCTTTACCATGAATCTGGGACATGATGATGGTTCATTGATGTGTGCAAGACAGAGATTGAATAGGCTAGTAAGTGTGCTAGTCATACTGGAATAGATGACGGTCAACTGAGACAGACATTCACATCCAAATATTTCAGATCTCCCCTCTTTCTGAATTTTTTTACAGATACTGTATGTATTTCCATCTCTGTCATATGAAACTGCCTGCATGTGTGGTGCGCATTAGACCGGCGTTTTCCCGCTACTTGCGTTCTGGGACATTCGGGTGTGTTACCATGTGACCATTGCTGCGCTTATAATGTGAGGAAATAATAGTTGATCAACATTTTAAGCTAAACGTTGTCATCTGTTCTGTCAGCCTCTTTGTGTTTATAAGCAATGCAGGCTATGAAGGCTATTTTAGATTGCAGGTCCACTGGGCGTCAGTTGTAGGCTATTTTAGACTGCAGGTCCACTAGGTGTCAGTTGTAGGCTACATGCAGGCTCTTGCGCGTCTCGTGTGAATTATTACATGGATTATAATAAACTGACATCTTTTTTTTTTAGGGGGTGGATGTATTTTTTGTCAGGGAAAATCAGTAGTTTTTTATTAAATGTTCAAGGCAAGCAATAGGCAGAATAAATGATTGGCAGCCTCAGTGTCCAACGGTTACAGCCACTGACCCCCGGCACACATCTGCCAGAATCAGCAATGGGGTTGGAATTCGGCCCGCTGCCCTTTGACTCACCCTCCACCTGTTTCTCAAACATTGTTCTAGCTCTTAAATAAAAGCTAAAAAAATTACAAAAGGTAAAATAAATACTGTTAATAATAGACTTGTATAATATAATGATCATACAGTACAATGACGGTAGAGGTCTAACAGTATGCTATTTAACAGTGGGAGGACTTTAACATTAACACATGGGTGCAGCAAAATGCCAGATTCTTCAATGATAATGACCATATCATTTTCTCATGATTAAAGAGACCAGGTTGGCGCGAAATGCAGGAGTGGCGATGGTGAATTCAACTGTTAAACAAGCTGCTCAATAAGCTGTCAATCAACTGATGGCCCCAAATCAGCTCATCAACTCAGCCAGTGAAACAAACAGTAGCCTACTATGGGTTTTCACACCTTTCATCATGATGTCACAATGTATAGGCTAACGAATAACCTACAGAATGTATTGGAATATAATCCAATAACAAGGGGCCTATTGTAACCATCGATGGCACTAGATTATCGCCAGCTGATGTCTCATTAAACCATCAATACGCACTAAATTCACCCACACAGCTGATTTCAATTGCGACCATTATTGGTCACCTCATTACCGCTCCCTAAAAGATGTCGGTGTTACCTGCCTGCAACCAAAGTTTTTCAATATATGTTCGCCCTCTGGTTGGTATTATCATGGGAACAATTTAGTCCTTTTTGAACAGACGATTTATCTCTTTCACAAGCATTCAGTACAATTGAAATAAAATATTTCCTTGTTTACCACAGCAATTTACCCGACACTGTATAAATGTAAACTAATGTTGGTGTAGCTTACTGTTATAATTGTATTAGTTTCCGATTTATGTTTTCGACTAAATACAATTGTCTATGAAAGTGTCTGGTATGGTCATTTATTTTCAAGATTGCCGATAAAATATCCCTGGACTGTCCATATTTGAAATCCGCCATTAATGCACCATTGCGCTCAATTCCGTAGGCTACCTCACTATTCTCAATTTAATCTTGTCTTTGCATTTGATATTATAGGCCTATGTGATTACATGCGTTTTTCTGGATTTTTGTTGTTGTTATTCTGTCTCACACTGTTCAAATAAACCAATATAAATTATAAAATATAAATAAAATTATATACTGATCATTTCTTTGTCAGTGGGCAAACGTACAAAATCAGCAGGGGATCAAATACTTTTTTCCCTCACTGTATATCATGACTGTATAAGTACTATATCATTAATATATAAGTATTATATCAGTAATATATCATGACTATACCATGACTATATCATGACTGTATCAGTACTGTATCAGTACTATATAAGTACTATATCAGTAATATATCATGACAATACCATGACTATATCATGACTGTATCAGTACTATATCATTAATATATAAGTACTATATCAGTAATATATCATGACTATACCATGACTATATCATGACTGTATCAGTACTGTATCAGTACTATATAAGTACTATATCAGTAATATATCATGACTATACCATGACTATATCATGACTATATCATGACTATACCATGACTATATCATGACTGTATCAGTACTGTATCAGTACTATATAAGTACTATATCAGTAATATATCATGACTATACCATGACTATATCATGACTATATCATGACTGTATCAGTACTGTATCAGTACTATATCAGAGACTTCATTCTTCTCTTTTCTCTGTCCTCATCTCCTGTGGTTTTCTGATGTTTCTTTGAGATGGTTTCTTCTCTGAGTTGGTATATATTATGTCTGATGTGGAACTTGATTTTCTCCTGTCTGTTATCTCCATCTCTTTTCCTCTCCTCTCAATCTCTTTCATTATCTCTCCCCCCCTCTCTCTCCCCCTCTCTCTCCCCCTCTCTCTCCCCCAGGTGAGTGTGGAGGTGCTGGTCGAGTATCCCTTCTTCGTATTCGGCCAGGGCTGGTCATCGTGCTGCCCGGACCGGACCACTCAGCTGTTAGAACTACCCTGCACCAAGCTGTCAGTGGGGGACGTCTGCATCTCCCTCACCCTGAAGAACCTGAGGAACGGCTCCCTGAAGAAGACCCAGCAGACCCAGAACCAGGCCATGGAGATCACTACTAGCTGCAACATGGGCTCCATCCACGGGCCCCTCAAACCCTCCAGGTGTTCCCGGGGTGGAAGGGGGTCAGGCAGGCACGGGGAGCAGGAGAACGGGGTGGGCCATAGAGGCTCCAGTGGAAGTGGGGGAGTGGTGGTTGGAGGTGTTCAGATCGCCTCAGAGAATGGAGAACTGAGGTTCGGCGTCGGGGGGGAGGCCAACTTGAAAAGAGGCCAGCCTGGAGATTCAGAATCCAGCAGGGGTGCAGCCAAGCCGGCGAGCCGCAAGAGGAGGTGGTCGGCCCCTGAGGGCCGTAAGGTGGAGAGGAGCGAGGAGGAGCCCCCGTTGACTCTGCCCAAACCTTCCTTTATCACTCAGGAGGTAAAGATCAGCATCGAAGGCAGGTCAAATATAGGCAAGTAGTGAAGGCAGGAGGTTAAAACAAGACTGTTAATTCAAATGGGGATTGGATGGAGACATGGAAAAAGAAAGAATGCCCTCTTAAATTTTTCATTTTAACTACTTTGTTTTAGATTTTTTTATTGTTTTTATTTGCTATCCGGATGACTGTAGGCGAAATTTGACCCATGTTATCACCTTACATTAAGTCCATGTTAGTATTAACATTGTAATAGATGCGTTCGGCATTACGTCAACGAGCAATCGGTGCATTTGCTTTGGGATTTTCCAACAAATCTCTGGGCAAGGGATTTTGTGAAGTATAGTACATTTTTAATTGGTGAGTTTGTGGCACACGAGCGCTGCTTGATACCTCTCTGGTCATTTGATGGCTGCAGGTGGACAACTTAATTAAATGATTGAAATATGTAGTTAGCTTTCCCATAGGACCTAGGACATGACTAAGCTGCCATAATGTAGACCGGTGAGTGATGCCACTTCCTTTGTGATGTCACTTCCTGGTAGAGGGCACTACTGACGAGAGTGTTCAGGATGTCTGGACGGAATCACTCTCCACGCCACCCATTGCCATGGTGGCAGACTGAGTTGATATGATGTCATCTATCCTGAGCGACTCAAGTCGTCTTTAGATAAAACACAGTAAAAAAAGGACTTGAACACATTGAAACCCTCATTAATAAAAGAGGATTTATAATAACCTTTATTTGTCTCTGACAGAAGGTTAGAACTACACATCTAGTCCTAAACAAGGGGTCACCAGATGCCTCGACACTCATCTAACTAGACCACTTAGGTGATGTCACCCAGCAGGGCCAGACCAGCCAGGTGAGGTCATCAGGCCGCGCCAGTGGGCCACCAGAAAGAGGGAACTCTTCCTTCCTTTGTTATGTTTGGGTGACAGTGGAGTCATTATGTTATTATTCCGGAAACGTTTTATTTAGTTTTGCTTGTCAATGTTTCCCTTCTCACCTTTGAACCTCTCCTATCTTGCCCAGTGAGTTGATAATGATATATTTGCTGATTGTCTAAAACTTTGAGATCAGGGGTCACATACTGTATGTATGTATAGTTTGACCGAGGGTGGTTAAGTAAAATGTTTATGTTATTCCTTTATACCCTACATACATCTACAATCACACTGAGTTGACTACATGAACTATGGGATTATTCAGAGGAAGATGATTATTACTTGGTGCAACCTTTTCCTTTTTATTCTTGTGGCGAGAGAGAGAGGTTACGTCCCAAAATGGCACCCTATTTCACTATATAGTGCACTGCTTTTTACCAAGGCCCTATCCTCATGGGCCCTGGTCAAAAGTAGTGCACTATATAGGGAGTAGGGTCCATTTGGGACGCTGTCAGAGAGTCTGTGTTGAGTCTTAAGAGAGGAGAGGGACAGCATGTTGTCTTGAAGCGCTTGCATTTGCACACCTGTCACACTCACCAACTGATGATAATACAACTATTATTATTATTATTATTATTATTATTATTATTGCTCTCGCTTCATTAACACAGTACTGTAGGTTTTTGTTATTTTGACTTGAGGAAGAAGTAGAACTCTGTGACAGCAGCACTTTAGAACATTGAAGGGGTCATGATGATGTCATAGTGTCATGATGGTCATGGGGTCACGAAGTCACATGACTTTTGAAAGGGATGAATGTGACAGGTGATGGAGAGAGTGCCAGTTAGGAGAGGGAAAGAAAGAGAGAAAGAAAACAGGAATATAGAGGAAGATATAATAGCAGAAGAGTGCTTTTTGTTGAGGCACTTTTCTCCAATCAGAACATGCTCTTCAAAATATGGGTGTGGTCAAAAAAATGACACATAACTGCCTTTTCAAGGATATCAAAATGTCAATAAAGTCCAAAAGGAGATTGGGCAAAGAATGGGAATAGGCAGGAACTGGGGAAGAGCAACGTGAGAATGTCCAGGTATGTTGTGGACGAGACTGAGAGAGCGCTACAGACACTCTGGACGCATGTCTGTATGCAAGTGTGCATGAATGCAGGTATGTGTAAGTACACACACACCAGAGGAGGCTGGTTGGAGGAGCTATAGGAGGACGGGCTCATTGTAATGGCTGTTTCCAGATGTTTGATGTGTTTGGTACCATTCCATTGATTCCATTCCAGCCATTACAATGACCCTGTCCTCCTATAGCTCCTCCCACCAGCCTCCTCTGACACACACGGAATACACTCTCCTAAAGGCGAGGGAGGACATTATGTATTTCATACTTGTTGGTATACATTTTATATGTATACAAATACTTTTGTTGCATAGATGTTTCCCCTTGATGATATAGAGAAGCCAAGATATATGAGTAGGAGACTTTAGTGATGCTCAGTGCACTGTGCAATGTGTGTTTGTTTGTTTGTGTGTGTGTGTGTGTGTTTGTAAATGTGTATAGAAATATCATATAACTTAATTTGATATATCCACTGTTAAATGTCCAGTGTTTCTGTTTTTGGAGCTCTACTTAAGAGAATCTTGCAATTTGCACATCTGGAGAGGTAGTCAGTCCCAAATGGTACCCTATTCCCTATATAGTGCACTGGCCAAAAGTAGTGCACTATTTTTACATTTTAGTCATTTAGCAGACGCTCTTATCCAGAGCGACTTACAGTTAGTGAGTGCATACATTTTTTCATACTGGCCCCCCGTGGGGAACGAACCCACAACCCTGGCATTGCAAGCGCCATGCTTTACCAACTGAGCTACACGGGGCCACTATATAAGGAACAGGATGCCATTTCAGAGACACCTATGTTTTCAGCCAGGTTGCACACACACACACACACACACACACACACACACACACACACACATACACACAGCGAGCTGAAAGCATAGAGATAGATAGAGGACTCATATTTGTATCTGTGCCATTATAGTGTCTGTGACAGCATGGGCAGCACCATTAAGGCTATCTCGATTTTAAAGTAGTCAATTTTCTTCTCCACTATTGGCTGATCCCTCCTGATGACCCGGTTGGACATGACTCCAACAGGGTCACCAGGAGCGATCAGCCAACGAAGTTGGAAGTCCCACCCAGTTGACTACATTAAAATGGTGGAAGCCCTCAATGGTGCTGCCCATGCTAATACAGCCTTTTGGCTACTAGAGGTCTCTGTCATTCTCTATGGCTGAAACCCCATTTTACTGAAATGTAGCAGTTACTTAACAAGTGTGCTCCCTGCTGATTGGCTCCGATGCTCTCGACTGTGCTCCTCATTGGACCACCACACTGTCCATCACATCTGTGGCACGTCCAAGTGGCACCACCCACTTGTTGGGGGGGTTTGGTTGAGAGACAGTGTGGAGGAGTGTCGGTCGGTCTTGGAGCCGGGGGCGGGGCCACAAGCAGGTACACCTGTTGAGCTCTCTGATTGTACTAGATTTTCAGGTGTGTTTAGGTGGTAGAAGATGTGGCAGAGTAGGAGAAGGATGTAGAAGCTGCTTCTAGCCACTGATGTAGGTTCAGATGTTTAGTTCATCCCCCTAACGGTTAGTGTTAGGAGTGGGTATAGGGTAATCTGATCCTAGATCTGCGGTTAAGAGGAACTTCTACCTGGAGCGTGGTGAAATAGGAGGGTGGGTGCGGGTGATCGCCGTGGTGATGGACGGATGGTTTGTGTGACTTCGACGGATGGATGGATGGATGGATGGGTAAAGTCAGATGGATGGTGGTGGTGGTGTGTGTGTGAGTGAGTGTACACCATGTATAAGATTTGAAAATGCTTTATTTTTAAAAAATAAAACAGGGTTTCTCAGATCAACACCATGGCAGTGCATTTTCATTTTTTCTTTTATAACATTGTTTGATTATGTCTTCTAAAGGTAGTTTCTGTGTGTGTGTGTGTGTGTGTGTGTGTGTGTGTGTGTGTGTGTGTGTGTGTGTGTGTGTGTGTGTGTGTGTGTGTGTGTGTGTGTGTGTGTGTGTGTGTGTGTGTGTGTGTGTGTGTGTGTGTGTGTGTGTGTGTGTGTGTGTGTAAGGGCAGGACGGACATAATAATGACTTTTGCTTCTTGAGCCTCACCTTGGTAAAATAATAGATATTTAAACCATTACATATATGTTTTTTGCATTCATACACATTGAACCAAAATGAGACCCTAGTTAAGTATTGTTCTAACTGACTAACTCCTACCTAAATGGGATCATTCAGTAAAACAACAACACACACTAACACCCCTCACCAATCAAACCCTTTCAGGTAATGTTTTCTAGTGCAAATGTGAAGCACCATGGAGTGATGTGTGAGAGAGATCACTTGCCAATGAGAGCAGAGGGTTAGTTAGCAACACATCTAGCATCTAGCCCTGATGTCTGTAATGTGTATTTGAGAGAGAGAGGAAGCGAGAGAGAAGGAGAAGAGAGAGAGGGGAGTGAGATCGGTTCTAGAGATGAGATGAAGAGTGTAGAGAAAGAGGGGGAAGATGGAGAGCATGGAGTCCGTGCAGAGATATATCAAGCTTGTATGCCTCTCCAGTGGAGTATCTGTTCTAGAAGTGGGGTGAGTGTTTAGGAATGGGGGGGAAGCTAGTCTAGAGATGGAGTGAAGCGTGGTGCTCAGAGATGGAGAGGAAGCTGGTCTAGAGATGGAGATGTGTGAGCTGGTCTGGAGATGGTTAGTTAAGTGAGTCCAGAGATGGGAGATGAAGGTGTCAGAGAGATGGAGGATGTGAGGAGATGTCTTGAGGGGAGTGAAGCTGTCAGAAGATGGAGCGGTTAGAGATGGGGTATCTGTGTCAGTAGATGGGGGTGAAGCTGTGTCTAGAGAGTGGTAGAGAGTGTATCTGAGAGGGGGTGAACTGGTGTCTAGAGAGATGGGGATGAAGCTGTGTCTCTAGAGATGGGAGTGAATGTGCTAGAGAGATGGGGAGTGAAGCTGTGTCTAGAGAGATGGGGAGTGAAGCTGTGTCTCTAGAGATGGGGGGTGAAGCTGTGTCTAGAGAGATGGGGAGTGAAGCTGTGTCTCTAGAGATGGGGAGTGA